GTCGAGCTGGTCAAACATGTCAAAGTACGACCGACACCAGAAGACGAGCTTGAGGCAGACGATGAGGATGCTGATAGGCCGATGCCACTAAAGCCGGCTGGGCACAACAACTACAGTGCGTACTCGCCGAGCAACACCAACGACAATACCAACAGCAGCGGTGCGACCTCGGCATATGGTCACCAGCGCAGTCGTAGCAGCAAAGGCGGCAGCAGTGACACTACCAGGTACAGCACCTACAGCTCTCCCTACAGCGGATACGACGGGCAAAGCGGAGCCATGAACGGTGCTAATGGCGCAGGCGATAGCGGTATGCTCGATTTCAAGGTACATTCCAACCAATACCAGTAGTCAACCTCTACTAACGTTGGCAGAACTACCTTGAAGATCAGACGGCACTCCTTGTCCAGAGCATACAGCCGCTTGTCAATCTCATCCGCTCGAACCCTGATTCTACGCCTGGTGACGAGCAACAAATTTACGAGTACATCCAGGACATCTCGCAAGCAGTCGACGACACTGGGAACAAGACCTACGATGCTGTAAATCAGCTTTCCAACCCTGCATTGAAAAAGCACGCGCTTCCCGTAGTAGAAGTGCTCGATGAATGCAGACAGAGCATGCTTGCTGTCGACATCAACGGTGGAGGTCGCGACAGGATTCCACCGCTTGCATTCAAGACCGCTAGAGCTCTAAAGGTAAGGGTTACACCAGCAACAGTGATTTTCAACATACTAATGGTAATACAGGAGCTCGTACTTCGCGTAGACCGCATCGAGTCTGGCGAACTTACTGTCGACCAGACGCTCAAGACAGAGCTATAGTGTGAAACACCGACGCACACTCATTCAACGTATAATGCCATCACACTATATACCTTCAACGCGACTTATTTATTGGACTCGATCTTGCCATTCCCGGTCTTCTTGGAATCGGCACGGCGTTTACGGTGCTTTTCTTCTACAATGCCTTACGACACTCGCCGATCTCTGCTTTCTTGGCTAAAGTCGTTGGCAATGCTGGATACCCAGTCTTCGATTCAAGGGCAGGACACCAGAGCATGTAAAGATTTGGACTCTTTACAGGAAACATTATTATTGTTTATTGCGGCGGTGACGGATACACGGGCTTCTGCCGGGCTCTAATGTGGGCATGACTTTCGGGCATGCGCTTCAGCCACCTTGGATAATCGGACTATTTTGGCTGAGTTATGAGGTACTATGATCATGGACGGACTGTTGTATAGTAATGTAGCCGGGCTAGGAAGAACCTTTAGGTAACAGTATAATCATAACACAGTCAAGAATGCTGAACACCCTGTCATGTTGATAGTGCCTGCAAGAACGTGCAATCAGACCTGTGGCTTGCACCTTCCCCCACTTCACTGCCACATTGGACCCCGTTTTCGCCTCGGCAGTAATTGCCAACTTTTCTGCATCACACCTCCACAGCCTTTCGGTCCGTCCCCATACGCGCCTGCTTAAGGTGAAGCAGTCCGGCTATGTAGTACTAACCAAGAAAATGATTGTACGCGATGACGTCATCATACAGCTGTTACGCGCGTGCGCCTTGGAGCAGAGATCACATGCACACAGCCACCGCTAATAATTCAATCAACGATCTAGATTTGCTACAGTAGCTAGCACTTTCACTCCATCTGAGAGCGTATCCGACCTCTTTCATCGGTTCTGAGGTCTCTCCAAACGATACATGCACTAGCATCTGAAGTTCGGGATCGGACCGTAAGGCAAAAGCAGTAAACATGGCGCAACAACTGCAGCCAGCATGGCCTGCGCAAAGGCCGCAATACCACGATACGATCCTCACCATCACTAGCAGCAGCTGTGCGGATCCGTACGTACTCTGGGACAAAGGCACGTACTACATGACCTTTACCTGCGGCGGCCACATAGAGATCTGGTCCGCGGACTCACTCTTCGACTTTGAGAAGAAGTGCAAGAAGAACGTGATCTGGCGTCCCCCACCAGACCAGCCCTACTCCGCCGACTTATGGGCACCTGAACTGCACTCCATCCATGGTCGCTGGTATGTCTACTTCGCGGCCGATGACCCAAAGCATGGCAACAAGTCGCATCGCATGTTTGTCCTGGCAGGGCCACCCTCAGAAGAAGACCCTCTGGAGCCAAGTAAATGGAACTTCTTCGGCCGACTAGGCGGTCTCCCCGAAGAGCAATGGGCAATCGACGGTACAGTCGTCACACTGGGCGGTTCCATGCTCTTCGTCTACTCAGGCTGGCCCCTCGGTACCCACGCCGACGAGTCGCGACAAGAAATCTTCATCATCGAGATGGTCTCGCCGACAGAATGTACAGGCCACCCTATCCGCATCAGCACGCCAGACCTGCAATTCGAGTTCTCAGGCACCAGCGGCATAAACGAGGGTCCGCAGTTCCTCTGCTCACCGGACGGCCGCTGGATGGGTCTTGTGTACAGTTGCGCGGGAAGCTGGACACACGAGTACAAGATGAACATCCTATACTACACCGGCGGTCACCCGCTTGACCCACACTCCTGGGCTAAATCTAACAAACCCCTTCTCAAAGCCGCTCGCGACGACTCTCCGCCTTATGGTCCAGGTCACGGCAACTTCGTCCTAGTCAACGGGCCCGGCGGCCCAGAGGTCTGGGGCTGCTTCCACGCCACGGATGCGAAGACTGGATGGGAAGGTCGTAAAGCCCGCATCATGCGCGTGGGATGGGGTCAAGGAGGTCCGTTCATGGGCTCGGGCGAGTGTGGGAGATGCTGCGGTGAAGTTGAGCATTTCATCCAAGGTTGTCCTGGTGGTACTTGTGGTGGTCAGGGCCATTGTGGTGGGGAAGGCGGTGCAGGTGGGGGATTCATGCAGCCGGGACATCAGGGCGGGAACTCGACGGATGATATTAAGAGGGAGGTTAAGAATTTGATCAAGGGTGGGAAGGGGCTTGTTAGCAAGTTTCTTAAGTAGGGGTGGGGGACGGGGATGAGTGGAGATGGCATGGAGTCATGGTGTCGAGGCGTATGGGGATCTGGAGTCCTCCTCATGCTCGAGAACTTGGGACGCAGTAGTATTGTTCGGCTTGAAAAGTGGTTTTCAGTATCTAGAGTGAGAGAACGGTCGTTGTGTGCGACTTGGAGAAGCTAGTGTTCCCGTGCCAGAACATGACATACTGTATATGCCATGCCATGAGTAGTCACTTTTCACTTGCGCCCAATCAAGGTCTGATTCACAATATGCAGTCGTTTATTCAACTGATGTCAATTGCGGGACGACTTCGACTCCGCTTCCGCAGCTTGTGGGTGTGCGGAGTATCTCTGGGTAGCTAGGACGTGGAGTACCACCGAAGCCGCCGCACAAAGAAATGCGGAATACCGCCAAGAAGGAACTGGCATCGGCCGAGGAGTGATCCGACTACAGCGGCATCAGGATACGGCAACTCTAGAACTATGCGTAGATGCAGCGCAACGCAGTGACTTGGGCACTTTCATACCACGCCATTTGTCGTCGTCCTTGTTAGTCCGCGTTCCGAGTTCGGAATACAGACGTTCCGCAGCCGATGGCTATACGCTCTATACGGCGGACCGAGTGGGTTCATCCCCGTCAGGTTGGGGAGACGATGCTATTGTTGAATTCGAAAAGTACAAGTACTGCTCGTCTGGTTACAGAAAAGCATCATTCACAGTTCGAGCATCCGATCTACAAGTAAACTCATACTACGTCTTCACAACCAACATCACCACGACACGACCACATCTCAACATACCAACCAAGCCTACTCCTTACCCCCTCCCATCACCATGGCCAAAGTCCAAGGAACATGCGACCCTCGCTTCGCCAAAGTCAAGTCCGTCTTCCAATCCTACCTCGACTCGGGCGAAGAGCTCGGCGCCTCCATCTGCGTCAACCTCGACGGGAAAGAAGTCGTCGATCTCTGGGGCGGCTACGCAGATGAAGCCCGAACACGACCATGGGAGAAGGACACTATAACATGTATTTGGTCGTCTAGCAAGACCATCTGCGCCCTCGCAACTCTCCTGTGCATCGACCGGGGTCTTCTGGATCCGAACGAGATGGTATGCAAGTACTGGCCTGAATTCGCCGCGAACGGGAAAGAAGGCGTGGAAGTACGCCACTTTCTTTCGCATGCGAGTGGAGTGAGTGGATGGGAGGGGCCCGTTACAATCGAGGATGTGTGCGATGTGGAGAAGAGCACGAAGTTGTTGGAGCAACAGGCGCCGTGGTGGGAACCCGGTACCGCGAACGGCTACCACGGACTCACAATGGGCCATCTCCTCGGCGAGTTGATCCGTCGTGTGACTGGAAAGCCGATGCAAGAGTTCATCGCTGAGGAACTCTCTCGTCCACTCGCGGCGGACTTTCAACTTGGTGTCCCGGAGAAGGAGTGGCACAGAGTCGCCGATATTATTCCCCCACCACAACACCAAGAAAATATGGAGGGCATGGCCATTGATACAAAAAGTATCATGTTCAAGTCTATGGGCATCAACCCCGGCATGGACGCTGATTGGGCCAACCAAGCTGTCTGGAGGGGTTCAGTCGTTGGCGCGGCGAACGGATACAGCAATGCGCGCGCTCTCGTTCGTCTCATGTCCGTCATAGCCTTGGAAAACCCTTCTTTCCTCTCTGGCAAGACTCTTGATCAGATTTTCTCGACGCAGCAACATGCCGAGAGGGACCTCGTTATTCCGATGAATGTCCGTCTTGGACTGGGATTTGGACTGCCAGCTGAAGGAAGCATAATGGCTGATCTGCCACTGGGACGGGCGGCGACTTGGGGTGGTTGGGGCGGAAGCCGGGTTATCGCTGATGCGGATAGGAAGATGACGTTTGGATATGTGATGAACAAGATGGATGCAGCCGGGTTGGGGCAGACGAATGAGAAAGGCAAGGGTGGTATGGGCAATCCGAGGACGTCGGAGTTTATTGCAACCGTTTACGAGGCTTTGGGTATCGTGGCTTGAGAACGCGGCTCTCGATCGAGTTATGGAATGACGGTGCTTTGGTTTTCGGATGTTTGCCGCTGTTGCTGTTGGTTGACCACTTGTTTTGGCCATTCCATCCATTCTGCCCAGTAGGATCCTAGGAAGTCATCTACTACACCAACGATGCTCGTGCCGCAACCTGCCGTCCACCAACCTGTGTGAAGCTGTTCTAACAGTGCGCCAAAGTAAGCAAAGATGAGTAAAGCTAATGGCTGCCGTTGTTGCTGCAACTTGAAGTATTCTTTCGGTACTAAAGATAGCCAAACGAACGGCTGTACCAATCGCGACAAAAGCCATGTGTTAGTAAAGGTGTCAAATGGACCAAGAGAGCAAAATTTAGCAACTTACAGCAGACCAACTACCGTTATATCCCCATTCCTCCTGTTGATCTTCCCAGGTTTTCCGGAAATGGAGGACCCATGCACTCATCTTCCTCAACAAATACAGCGTCTCGTCGTATACTGCCTTATTTCCATCGTCAGCCCATGTTTGCTTGATGCGCACCACGTGCTGATCATCTAGTCCCGGCTGCATGTTGGGATCCATATCGTCCCAGTCCTTTAGATGGAGCGTTGATTTTAAAGGGCCCTCTTTGAGATGTTCGTAGATAGGACCTATCACAGCCTGGATACCGCGCACAAGGGGTATCCATTCTGCACCCAGAATACGCGATGTCCGTATTGATAGGCTATCGTTGGTGTTGTCGCTATCTTGCTGTTTGTCCGCGTTGGCATCTGAAAGCTTGGAAAAGGTACAGAAAGCGTAGAAGAACATTAGCGTCGAAGTTGCAAAGACTGCTTCAGCGTTGTGCGGGCCAATGGTGTCGATATCTGCTCTAAATCCGCTGAGAGCGACGGTGTGATGATGCGCTGCGATGTGGAGATTTGCGCGTCTGTCGTCAGGATTGAGATATGCAACGTGTAAAGCGGAGAGACTGATGAGACAGTGCATCATGTATGCGTGTTTGTATGCTATTTCTGGGAAGACCACCTGCCACAGCTGGGTGACTGCCGGCACACCGGGGAGTATGGAAAGACTTGTAGCCATTGTCCAGTGATGCAATAGGGACATATCCTTCAAAGAGAATGAGGGAATGACCTGGGTTTCGGAACATGGTGTGCTCGCTGCGAACGGGTCGTTTTGAGGAGACGCTAGCTGGAATGCGTTCGGAGTTGCCGGTGTTTGAGCACGAGAAGACGCGTGTTCAGTCGAGCTTTTGGCTCGCACGGGAATGTATTCTGGGTATACACAGGCAACCTCATGCCTCACGCAATGCGAACATCGCGGTTTTGCTTCGTCGCACTATCGCACGCGTCAGAACGGAGGTTGTAGTACGACATGCTTCGTACCTTGATCCGGCGGCGTTTGCACGTGGCACAGCCCGTCCGCGATTTCGAGTGCGCTTTTCTTTTCAGGGCCATTGGAACTGGCCAATTGCATTAAGAGCTTGATATTATAGGCGAGTAAAAAGTAGTAGGGAGGCTCTGGGGAAGGCAGCAACGCGAACGAGAAACGAAGAACGAAATACGATGGAGCTAGAAACGGGTTGGTGCTAACCCGATCTGTTGACCTCGGCCCACTCGGCGAGCGAGACTTTCCATCCCGGCGACTTCTCCTAAACACCACAACAGCAGATTGAAGATGCACGCACTGATGTCTATCAAAAATCCATTGCGAATTCTACATACACAAGGTCATCATAGCTGCAGAGTATCTAAACGCCGTAATCATGCCACGCCAAACTCAAACGCGATACCAATGCCCGTAACATCATCTAAACTACAATGTAAAGCAGAATTTGCTTTACGCCCTCTCGTACAATCCGATAATCTCGCTGTCCAACTTCTTCACCGCCCGGTGATTCGTACCAAACACGTCATCCGCACGAACAAAGTGGAACAAGACCTGCACCAAGAACATGGGCAGCGTATCGAAAACATACATGTACACCTCATGCGAAGCCAGATACCCGCTATGGCCCTGTCCAAACTCGATGACGCGGAAGATGCAGCGAGCGATGATGACAACAGCCGCGATAGCAAGCAGTTTGTACTGTCGTAACATTATTAGATAGTCCGTCGACGAAGGAGATAAGAAGAAGGGAGAAACTTACCAAAGTCGGCCACGTATATTTGCCATACTTTGGCACCGTGTACCTCTCAGGCGCACTCCTCATCCTGAAATAGAATATGGCACTAACCACGACAAAGAAGCCGAAAAACGCCAACTGCACAAACAATCCCAGCAGCATTATCTTCTGTCCCATATCCGCCATGTCTGCCTGCGCCATCATGCCGCCACCACCAGACTGCATGAGAAATGCAACGACGTCGCCGCAGACGAATATCTTGGTCACTAATGTAGGTCGGATGACGGAAGCGTGTTCAGCGTTTACGAAGACGACGAGGCGACCGTAAATCATGTAGATTGTTGCGGCGTAGAGCGAGGGTGGTAGGATGATGAAGAGCGATTGCATGATGTAGGGCATGAGTTCGGAGGGGGATTGCGCGGAGAGGTAGCGGGCTGCGTAGCCGATTGTCATCACTGAGTGGTTGTTAGTGTAATGTCCTGTGTGAGGTAAGACGGAAGGGAAGACGTACTTATTGATCCGATTACAAAAGCTGTGTAGAACCAGGCGCGACTTCGGATCATTTGGAAAAGGTGGTAGATTGTGCTTAGGCCGAAGAGGACAGCAAAGAGGATGGCGCCGACCTTGCTGGGCTCGTAGGGAAAGAGAGCGTACGCATCTTTGTCCGTTGACGTGTCGCCTGCCATTGCGATGCTTCGGGGATAAAGTATGGCTGAAGATGCCTGAGAAGGTCGACGCAGGGAGAGAAGGACCACGCCGTTTCGCAGCACACGAGCAGTTGTCGTAAATGAATGTAGAAGAACTGGAAGTATGTGTTGAAAAGCGACAGGAAGAAGACGAACGGAGTGAATGTGTGGCTTGTAAAATCCATCGTCACAGACATCATTCCTCCTTATACAACTGAGCCCATCGCAAGCTGCACCCAAAAGCGCAAGAGACCCATGTAGTGATCCACTCCGAGACGAATACGCGGATAGCCCTACGAGACGGAGGCTGTGCACTCAGGAACGAGATGCGGGTACCCACTTCGCGTACCCTGAAACCCCTGCATCGCCCGCCCGTTACACTAGATCCGGCGCTACGACGATACGATATACGATGCACGTCTAGAAAATTGTATGCTTGGGTAGAGACGTCTATTCGATACTTCTAAGCCCTCTATGTGACGTTGTCATACCTGCGCCACGTGCCGGAAGTACCGGTCAAAGATTGGCGCGACAATTCCATCAAGCTCCTCCACTACCCTGTTACCGCCCTTTACTATCCACTCTTTCGTCTCAATAACGTCGAAAGGCCTTCCACGGTTCCTGCATCTAAATCGTTGTTGACTGCTGAGGCCGCCAGTGCGCATTGTCTATTTCCGCTTGCGTGAGCCCGGCGAAGGCAGCTGCATATTTACTTGCAAGCCACTGCTCCACATGCGACGTGGCCGAGTCGGCCACGATTGAGGGCTGGCTTGGTGTATCATCTTCCTGAAGTAATTCTGTGTGATCCTCATGGCCATTGTAGTCCTTGGGCTCCTCTTCGTCTACCGGCGGTTGCGATTGCGCAGGAGCGTGAGGACTCGCAGGTGGCGGCGAGCTATCCTTATGACTATGGTGAGGTTCAGGGACCTCCTTATCCACCGGTGGTTGCGATGGCGCAGAAGCGTGAAGACTCGCAGGAGGCGGCGAACCGTCCTCATGACTGTGGTGATATTCGGGTGCCTCTTCGTCCACCGGCGGTTGCGATTGCGCAGGAGCGTGAGAACTCACAGATGGCGGCGAGCTGGCCCTACGCCTGTGGCGAGTTTCGGCAGCCTCCTCATCCATCGGTATCTTTGTTTGCGCAAAGGAGTGAGGGTCGACAGTTTGTGCGCTCTCTGTGGTGGAGCCTTCGTTCCTTGCGCTGGGCGCAGGAGTTGATTTTGCATCAGCAGCGTCTTCGCATGGCGCGAGGTCCCTGGATTTCTTCTTCTCTGCCGGATGCTCCGATTGCGCGATATCTTGAGGCTCCGCAGGCAGTACCGTCTCCTTGATCGGACTGCTGTTCTCTATGCCAGATGTGGAAGTCGATCCCGCACCCGCAGCATCTTCAGATGGTGTAAAGTCCCCGGATGCCCCCTTATCTGCCGGAACTCCTTGTTCCGCAACATTCTGAGAATCCACAAGCTGTACTGTCTCTTTGGTGGAACCGCTCTTCTCTGTGCCTGATGTGGAGGTCGTTCCTGCGCCCGCAACGACCTTGGACGACACCAAATCCTCGGGACTCTCTTGAATAACTGGTGGTTGTGATTGCATAGTCTTGTGACGGCTCGCAGGCCGTACGGTCTTCTTGATGGACTCGCTGTTCTCTGTGCCTGATGTGGGAGTCGATACCGCGCCGGCAACAGCCTTGGACGGCTTTGAGCCCTTGAAATCCTCTTGCTTGACGGGTGGTTCTGATTGCGCAACAGCTTGAGGTTCTACAGAATGCGCACTCTCTTGGATGGGTTCATGGTCCTCTCTGACGTTTGTGGTACGCGGTTGCGTTTCTACAGCATTCGTAGACGGAGTCGCGTCTCGAGGGGAACTGCGCCCTGTGTCATTCTCCGTAGGCTTAAAAAGCGCTGACCAGGAAGTAGGCTGCCCGCGAGCGGTACTGTTGTGTTCTTTGATTGATCCAGTGCTGCCCTCACCTGGTATTAGAGCAGACAAGCTCGTTATTTTAGATCTGAGATAGTCCGCCCGTACCTCTCTCGATTTCACTTCAGCTCTTGCCCTGTCCAACTGTGCATCGGTAACAGCAGTTGCATAGCCTCTCTCTCTGTACGCATCTTGGATACTCTTGCGATCGTCGGTGCGCTGTTTCTGCTTCTGCTTTGGTCGCACTTTCGCGCGCCCTTGCACCTTTGACCAACTACCCGGGTCGTTCAGAAGACTCTCCTCCATGGCCTTCTTCATGTCATCTTCACTATCGGCATGGAACGCTAGCTTTCCGGCGGACTTCCCAGCGTGTTTCGACGGCTTGGCCATCAAAACTTCGTACCTGTTGCTTGGATGCTCTTGAACCGTCTCTTGATTGGTAGGCGCTTCATCGCTAGGAACCGAATCAGCCGCAGACAAGTGGCCACCAAGGTCACCACCGTCGTTGATAACACTGCTGCCAATAACACCGTCGTTATCCTTGTCGGCGTTTCCAGCAACACTGTCACCACCGTCATCGGCCTTCGCGACAACGGATGGCGAAGACTCCTCCACCGTGATTGAGGCTGCTTGCTTGTTAGCGTCGGATTTTCCTGCCTTGCCATGTTTCTTCTCCCATCTCGATTGCTTCTTTCTTTGCTTCTTTAACTGCTCTGTTGACTGCTTCTGCTCGCTCTTCTCCTTCTCTTCCAGCGTTGAAAAGGGTGTAGGTCCACAAGGTGTAGGCGTAGTCGATAGCTCTCGAGATAAGCGCTGCTTTTTGGTTTGGGGCTCTTCCTGGGGTAGAGCTTGCTCTGGGGATGTGTGTTGTTCTTGAGTTACAGACTCCTCTTGCGGTGTCGTGTCGTCCCTCTGTGGAGGTTGTTCAAGAGACACAGGAAGGTCTTGAGATGTGCACTTCTCTTGAGCAACTGGCAGCTCCTTCTCATCAGGCAGCTCCCCCGATTTGGCACCTTTACGTTTCCTCGGCTTGTTCTTCTTTTTCGGTTTCTTTTGCTCCGCTGCTACAGCTGCTACAGCTTCATCGAGGACTAATGCGTCGAAGTCCATTCCCTTCAGTAGAACACCCTGTCGAGCTTCTGTGAAGAAATATACCCAGGTAGTAATGGTTTCGATTGAGCGTGGTCGAGTAGCGTACTCTGGAAATTTGACTACATCATGGCTGTGGAAGTTCTGCACGAGGCTGTGCCATATGGATTCGCCACCAGGATGCCTCTCTTCGAGGTAATCGAACAATTTCTTTCGAGCTTTCGCGCCATCTAAGCGTAAATCGTAGATGACGTCGATGTTCTCAAGACGAAAGGAATCGATCCAGAGGAATACACTTTCTTTTGTAACCAGAGGTCTAGTATAGATCTCAAGCACCCTCATCGCGTTCCAAAGGTATTGGTCAACGTGGTCGAAATCTGGGGCTTTTATCATTCTCTGAAACGCTGCTATTCCGTCTCGTCTGACCCTTTGGCGAATCTTTGTAGGTGCCTGAACGTATCTGTCGAACGAGGGTTTGTGCAACTTCAGAACCCCACTTACAGCGCACCACAGTACTTCGAATGGTTGGAGATCGGGCCGTTTGCGAGTCAGAAAGAGGATGCAACAACGCATGTCATAATCGAGCATTGCACTCAGGTTTTGCCTAGAGTCTTGATACTCGTGGCTCATCTTCGTGGCCACGCCGAGCTCAAGATCTGCCAGCAGGCCGCGTGTCGCAAATAATGGTATGACACATTTGGTCATATGATCGGGGGGCAGCATGTAGTTGTAAAGGATGGTGTTAGGATCAGGCTTAGCCTAAGGATGAATGTACAAAGTCAGTAAATGTTTCACATACGATGCGTACATGAGGTATCACTACCTTCCATTGAACTTGGTTGTTGTTGATCTCGAAAGAAGCGTCCCAATAGCCCGTACATTGAGGATTGAAGAGTGACATGGGCATTTGACATTTCCGGATCTTTCGGTCCAGCCTTGGAAGACTAGGCAGAAGGTGGTACTTGACCATTGGGTACTATACGTTGTCCAAGTCCCTCGCATCGGCCTCTTCAATAGCCTCTGCTCTCAACTCGTAAAAGTTTAGATCTAGAAAGTCCCCAGAGCCCGGAGCGGCCTGAACGACTGATGATTGTAGCTGCTGAATGGACAATCCGGGAAATGGTGCAGTGGTATCCGAATCATCCCTCGGTTCCAGCGACGGGTGGGGCGGATCTTGCTCGATAGCTGATGCTTGAGGTTGCTCAGCGGTCGATTTGGGGAATGGTGGCGTGTCCGGAATATCCTTCGGGTCCAGCGATGGTTGGGGCGGATCAGGCTCGATAGCTGGTGCTTGAGGCTGCTGAGAGTCCTTGTTGGGATGCGGCTCGATGGCTCCGGCAGGTGTGCGCTGCGCCAACCTGAAGAGCGCATTGCGGTATTTCTCCTGAATCTTCAGATGGGTGAAGAAGTTGACAGGCAGCGGCCAGTAATTGTCGGCGATGTGATGGCATATAGCTCCCTCCAAGGCACCCCGGCGGTCCAGTGGGACTGTTTCCAGGCAGTCCACGATAAGCTGGCCTATGGGTAGCAGCTTCTGCTTAAGAACCTGAGCGTGCGTCTCGTTGTTGAGGGTCTGATTGTGGTCCTGTAGACTCTCGGGTGTCAACGCCTTCAGTTCCTTCAGGTCGTCGAGAACGGGTGACAGTATTTCGATTATTAGGCTCTTGTCGTCATATTGAATTTGCGACTCCATCTGCGCTGTGGAGTGGTCGGTATGGCAGGACACTTCTGTAGGCGATAGGAACCGACTGCGGTATAACTTGCTAAGCCTGAACGACTGGAGGACGGACAGCCTAGGGCCTGAGCTGTGTATGACTGCCGGTAACGATGGGCTATGAATAATCGGTAGTTCGGCGACAAAGGGAGTCACCGGACGTGGTGTTGCTGAAGACGTGGCGGCGGAAGCATCATTGCCATCCATGGTTGGCGGAAAGTCGCCTCCAGCCTCTCCGCTGCGGTAAGAGCGTTCCGAACCGAATAGCGGCGTAGTGTCGCCTATGGCTGCTTCCTCAGCAGGAGTTACCACGCGCCTACCAAAGCCCCACCTTATTCCGTGCATATCAGCGTCAGACATTAATTCACAGCTTCGAGTGATTAGGCTGAGGAGAGTGGAAAGAAAGGTCGATAGTGCGCAGGTCACGTATTTAAGCGACATTGGCTTGCTAGTTATGCGATATCGCCGGGCCACGTGGTGAGTTAAGAAGGCGCAAGTCGGAAGGAGCGGTCTGGGGCAGGTAGTCGCGGCTGTGATTGTGACAGCGTTTGTTTGCTCGACGGCCGGACTGGCAAATAGAACTGGTGGGGTCAGAACAAGCAAGCAGCGCGAGGAACGAGTTTGGAAATTCATGAGAAGTACGACAAAGAGAGAGGTAAAGGTGAGACACGAAGGACTTATATGTACAGGTCGGTTCCAGGATCATCTAAGAACAATGGAATGTATGTATACAAATAGTACAGTGAGCGTGCTCGACTTAGCGGGCATGTCTCATGGAATCGTTGACTTACGCGCATATGTCTTCGCACTGTGACCTGTCGCTGACCCTGTTATAGCTTGCCTGCGAACAAACTACCCTCCATGGTTGTGGTGGTGGACCATCGACGTGGAGTCGTTCACAGCCGGATTGTCTAGGCCAGCTCCTACGTCTTCCAAGGCGTCAATGAGCCACGGAAGCGTCACGGTTTGGAGAAACCAACGGGGCAGTCGTATGCCCGCTGCTAGTTTGAGCATCATCGTCCTTCTCTCCAGCCGATGGGTATGAGCGCCGCCGCAACTTGTCCTACACCCCTCTCTGTCGCAAGCAGATTGAATTGCGCCGCCGCATTCCTTGTATCTTGGACTTCCAATCGTATTCCCTGGTCGTTGAGGTACTTGCGAACCGCGGGCGCGAGAGGAACGGTACTAGGGCCGGTGCCGATGATGAGTAGATCTGTCGCTCGCTGTCAGTCCACGTTGGTCACTCAATCGTTGCAGGAGGTTACAAACGTACCAGGCTTCGGATATAGTAACTCCAACAGTCCCCAAGCCTGCTCCTGCACTTCCCATTGTCCCTTCGCGTTCAGCAATTTGCCTGTCATTGCATCATCGCCCGTGCCTCCTCCAGCGACGGTGCCTTCTTTCCTGCCCTCGCGTAGCCAAGGCTTCCATCGATATGCCTCTCCGCCTATCAAGAGAATGCCGCATCCGCTAATGCGCATCTGGTTGTTGAGCGCGAAGCCATCGCCTGTGCACGCATCGATGGATGTGGCGGGGGCGACGGTGTTGCGGAGGACATCGAGAGCACTGAAATCGGTCTGCGTGTCTTCGTCGCTCTTTGGGCCGCGATCGCGCGTTCTTGGAGGTTTGGATTGGAGGAGGGCGGGGCGCGTCGTATGTAGGCAGCGTGCCTGTCGTGCGGACGCGATCGCCGAGGGTCTGGATTTGGGTAGATTACGACATGAGGCTTGCATCGTACATCTTGAGAATGCACGGGTGCACTGCAGTAGACTTCGTTCCATGGTTGTGATATGCAATTGATTGTTGTGGCGGGTGTCTATGTACAAGCCAAAAGTTATGCTAGAGCTGATGATCGATGCTGTCATCGAATCTAAAGAGAGCTCGGACCAGCCGGCAAGCGGGACATCTTCATCCATTGTGCCTCATCCTGCACTCCTTCTGTCATCGCATCCTCCAAGCCATGTGCCGCTTCAGTGAACAATGAAACCAGCGTTGTAACGGAATCGACTCCCATGCGATGCGCTCATAAGCTTTTGTTCCATGGATGCTTTCCACCCCCAGACCACCCTGTGCGACCGTCCTTGATCGCGAAGCAAGCAGTGATACTCAGGGGCTCTCATGCTTCCATCAGCGAGCATGTCGGATGTCGTAGTCTTCTTCTTCATCGTCGGAGTCGAATGCTGACGGAAGATCCTCACAGTTCAGTCCCTCGAACGCGAACTTTTCGGCCAACGTGGGTTTCTTCTCTTCCTTGATGGACACCATCTCGAACGACCTTGTGAGCTCGGAGTTGGTGTTCACTCGCTTCAGTGTCTGCCTAGTAAAGCGGACGGGCGAAGTCGTTGGCTACGAAGATACGAAGTCAGCGTTTGTCTCACACGCAGTTTGTACAGTGATTTCCTTACCTTGGGTCTGGCACCCTGATCGCCTTGCTCGCTCACAGTCGCGATGCTGGTCGATGAGTTCCGCTTGCGCTTGCGAAGATCTGGAATGGGCTGCGCGTTGTATCTGGGGTCTGGCTTTGGCTGGTTCACTCCCAGATAACACCATTCGGACGTCGGAGGGTTGAAGGTGGATGTCATGCCGCGATCCATGTACAGGTCTGAGGCCTTGAGCTCTCCGGTCGGTGTGACCTGCTCGGGCGCTGCAGTGAAGCCACCCCACTGCGAGAAGGCGATGGTGCGGCAGCCGGGAGGCATGATCGAGAGAGCCATCTCCGGGCCAAGAAGCTCTCGCAAGAACGCACTGCTGGCGGATGATGCTTTGCGCGTGAGATGGGAGGGTTGTGGGATACCGCGCTCGTCCGTAGACGGTGCTGTGTCTGTCGCAAAAGGGATATACTCTTGCGCAAACATCTTGAGATGCCTTGCTAATGCGTGCAGTTTCGTGGTTGTCAGACTGAAGTTTCCGGCTCGCAGCTGATCGCAATCTTTTGGACTGGAGGTCGGTGTTTGGAGTAATTGGGAAGTGAGGTCGGTGGTAAATTTGCAGCAGAGCTTGAAAAAGATTTTTCGCCATAAGGGAGTAGGACTACCTGGTGAAGGAGAAACAATGCGGGTGGCTGGTATGGACGGCCCATTGTCTGTTCTATTGTCACCCACGGTATGTGGTCGCCTTCACCTGCCAAGCCGACCAATAAGAGCAGGTCGAGATCAAAGCCATACCGCCGCGTTCACTTTTCAGTGACAGGATTGTCAGTCGCCGTGGGATATTTGGAGACTCGTGGGGAGTTTATAAGAGAAAAGGATGTGTTGTGAGACAGCGATGTGACTGTTTGTCGTATGGGGTGGAAGCAAACTGCCACGCCTGACGAGGCAGTCACTGGCGCCTATTGTTTGCACGCGTCGTCGCTGCACACCACGACGCCGGGCATGGTCTTGAATGTAGAACCGCTTGAGGTGAAAACACGCAACACTGTCAGTCACTGCCCCCACGCCGTGGTTCTCGCATGCTGGTGTCTATGCAGCGTTAGTACGATTCACCCAGGGGTACTAATCTCTTCGTTCATAACTTTAGGGAGCAAGGACCTCTTCGTCGAGCCTACGCGGATAATGGCCTTTTGCCTACTGGAATTAAGACTGGCAGACGAGTAGGACGCAGCAAGATGGGAGGGGAGGACTAAGGATTC